GCCCTGAAACTTACAGAATTTAGATAAGATTGTGTGATCTCTAAAATGTGTTGTTTTTCAAAGAAGTATTCAGACGTAATTGGTGCTCATCTGATCCATTTTCCTTGCAATCTGTGGTATTTAGAATGATTCCAAATCATTCATGTATATTTAGCCTACCTATTCTTTGCAGAGAATTTTCTATGAATATCAGTTGAGACAAGACGGAGCCTGATCGGCAAAGTATTTATTACATCTTAGTTTCTGCTTCATTTATTAACGTTCAGATAAGCGCACGTTTTTAACTTGTTTCAGTCATGTTATTTCAAAGCTATCCCAAGAAAAGGGGGTTTCAAATGATATACATATTTTTGGAAATGTCGATTTGTTGTGTATTGCACGCTTTGATTACTGAGAAGCCAGTACAACGTGTATATCCTTTCAACCTCTGAATACAGTCGTAAATGTCTACTGAAATATAAGTACGAAATATGAAATAAAATAAAATAAAATAAAATATAACAATTGAAAAAATACATCACAGAATGAAAGTATGGTAGGCAGTCGGACTCTTTCCAACTGAATAACTAATATCACTCACTCTCTTTTGATGGTTGTCAATATTGATAATACCATTGTTCTTTTTTTTAGGAGGACATTGAGTTTCCAACGGAAAAATAGAAGCCTCCAAAGAACTCCATGAATAATATGACAAATATGCAGCCCCATTCTCCTGATGATTCGGAAAGTTCAAAAGGAAGTTTTGCTGCCAACCAGAGCCAGGGGTCACGTGGCGCTAAGAAAGCCAATCAGGAGAACGGGCACTTGTCACGTGAGGAGAGACGGCGAAGACGACGAGCTACTCAAAAATATCGCACGGCGCACGCTACTAGGGAACGCATTCGAGTAGAAGCTTTTAATGTGGCCTTTTCCGACCTCAGAAAGCTACTTCCAACCCTCCCGCCAGATAAGAAATTATCTAAAATAGAAATTCTTAGATTAGCCATTTGTTACATATCCTATCTTAACCATGTTCTTGAACTGAGCTGATTCATAAGAAAGAGCATTGTTTAAATACGGAGAATTAACATCCGTCTCATTTTATCGAGCGACGAACATCGCACGCCTTGATTGTGTTCGTTTGCAAAATTTAAACTGGCGGTTGTGACAAAATGCGACGGTGTCTCACCTGAGGCAATCAGAAGGAATACACTACGTCAACGAGAGGTCGCCAGAGGCATGTTCCATTTAATACCTAACTCGTCATATCGTGTATCATAATCCATCGGTGCTATTTTGTGCAACTTTTATATTATATCCATGAATATTTCGTGGCCTTGGTATGTTATCATTTAAGTATCGTTTCTCTTTTTTTTTCGAGTTCTTATTTAAACTGCAGCTACGCAGAGTGAATAAATGTTATTGAATCTGTGGTGTTATTTCTGGTGTGTGTTTTGTTGACTATTTATTCTTGTCGTATACACAGTGATGATCTTACAAACTGAGCTGATATTCAATATGATTTTATGAAGCCAAACATATTGTCTGTAGTAATATGAACATATACACTAAAGATGCTGAAGAAAAGAAAATCACATACTACGTTCAAAACAAAAATTAAAGGCACATAACGTTTCATGACTCATACAATATACAGACCTAAATGGATTGCACGTTTTGATGATATCAATGCGGTAGTTGAGACTGCACATTTGGAGAAGACACATTCCACAGAAATGGAGCAGTGTGTTATACTCTTCCCGCGGTATTAGACCAGCTGTATTAATTCAGAAATGTGCACAAAATTTTTAATTTGAAATAGCAACAGAAGAAGGTGTTTAGATGGTTTCATTCTTTTCTTTGATAAAGAGAAAACTATATAACTCAATTTTTCATATTTTCCCTATCTAGTAACTGATTGGGAAATGTGACATTCGAAGTAGAAAAACTCTGAAGCGAAAGGAATAAAGAAATGCAGAAAAGAATGAATAAACAGACAAGGAACACGCCCTTGCATGAAAAACGCTGGGAGGAGCTGTTGAAGTTTATGGCAGGACTTTGTAAAATTTCCAAAACTATTTTGCAAAAATATCTGGAGATGAGGTGGGTGGGGGTGGGGGTGAGGGGGGGGGAGGGGGTTCAATTGGAGCTACTTTCTTCCCAACATTCCCCCGGGCCTTTTAACGCTTAAATACTGTTCATTTTCCTCACCCATACATTTGTAACTGCACACAGCTCTAGTGCATTCTGTCGCTCGATGTTCATATTAGACGTGTGCTGCATTTTAGATTTAATGATTTTTCTACATCATTGGCATATACAGGACGACGCTGTAAATACATCACTATAAATTCTCAAAAGAATAAAAAAAACAAAAAACAGACTGCCATCACCATTTAGCTTGCGATTGTAGATACGTGTGCACGCATACGCGCTTGCGTATGCCGTCAAAATGCCTATTTTAACGTATCAAAGCTGTGCCAGAATAGGAGTAGAATAGTAGAATAGACGTAGAAGCCCGTACATAGGGTTGGGACCCAGACTTAAATGATTAACTTTTGGTCTCAGTCAGACATAAGACTGCTTATATTGCCTAGTGAGAATTTTTAATCTGAGAGTTTATTCTCACTCCTATGGATACACGTAGGTTTAATGATTACAACAAACAAAGTTCTATATCCAATCTCGATGATATACTGTAGTATTAATTTTTTAACGCGAAACCTTACCGCTCTCTTTTTTTTTTTACAAATTGAACCATCTCGTGATATGTGAGTTTCCATTGCATAACATCACCTATACCGACCGGATGCTCCCAGAATCAGAGAGCATAAGGTCGTGATTCGTCCCCCACCTCCTTGTCATACTAAATACCATTTATAATGGTACTTGGCATCTCCTTCTAAAGATTCGATATACACAAATATGAAGGGGGAAATCCAACTGAATTGCGTATTATATTTTCGAGCCCCACTTATATGCAGAGGTTTTGACTCTGTATACTAGAGCGATAAATGATCGAACGAATTCCAGTCGGAACAGTTGAGAAGTGAGTTTGTTTGCCCGGGAATCAATTTATCGAGGACAAAATTTAAATGAGAAATTTTCATTTGTATCTTTCGTGAACAATTGTCAAACATCTGTTGATATTTTATATCTGTGTAACACAAACCGCAGCGCATGTAAAGCTGATAAAAACGCAACTGTGCATATAATATGGTTCATTTATTTTCATATAAAGTACAAGAGCTCATTTAGCACGTGGAATGTTTGCACTCTCAAGTTTAAGCATAATTTCTTTGTCTTGGTTTTGTGCATTAAAAGCAGGAAAATCTGCCCTAAGTACATACTGGGGTACAACTTATAATATTACATATAATTTCTCTCAAAGAGTCATTTATCAGTGTTCACGTAGGATCGATTTTACGGTATAGATATATAATATCCTTGAGTCAATATACAAAAGGATAAGATTCTCGAATTATTATATTATTTTCGTTAATCAATCTGTACACTATCTAATGATTGCTCGTGAATTATGTACTTACTACACGTACTCACTATACGTACCTGAACCATTCAAGAAATAAGAAATAATCCTCAGTATTATCTGTTTATAAACGAGAAAAATATTGTTACTGCCAGTTTTCGTTTCTATAAAAATTGCAAGAAATATACAAAGATCTTTTAAAATCTTTAACAATAATATTACAATATAAAATGCGGATCAATATATTTGACTTTTACTAATATAAGTAGTATTTGTGTGGTGTTTGATACAAGATCATCAGCAAATTCACATGTGTGTAATAAATAACTACATATTAAATTACCATTTAGATGCTAGAAATAATTAATTAAGTATCCTTGAGTGCATCTTATTTCGCTGCAAAAACTTGAGACCTGAGTATTCTCACGTAAAAATACTGTTTCAAATATATTAATGAGATCATATACAATTACAAGTATATCTGGAACATATAATATTATTCATATTTTGATATCTATATGTTACATAGACAAGGAATGCCTTATTGTTATTCATTACAAAAGGGAAAAATGTTTGAAAATCTTATTCCTGAAAGAACAACATTGTTCAACTGGAACCAACAATATGATATTCTCGTAAAACGTCAGTGTCACAGTGTTTATTTTTTGCTGCGTGTGAATAAAACGCTGAACACTGCATTTATCTTTCCATGCATACAACATCATTGATTCTTACTGTCGTATAGCAGTCAGAATATCCATGAATCCCGAGAGAATGTAAACACGAAGATCATGTTTCAAGTATTCAATCGGCTGACAAATCATTTAGTGTAAAGTTGATAAAACCTCACAACTCAACAATTTAGTGTATTGGTACACGAAAAAGACAGATATTGAAGGCTGTTTTCTTGGTCACAGATGGACAGAATGAAGAATCAACTTAGGGCTTATTTGGTCTTATCCCGAATCTACAAGTGTGATTCTAAAGTTGACATTATGTCGAACTTTGATTCTCGTCAGTCTAAACAGTCGTACATTTTGGTGGGCCTGACAAGGCATATTATCCGATGCTATAAATATGCACCCGAGTATTCATGCACTTGATGCATCGACGACCAGCCGTCAGTCTGCTGCATCTTTATTATGCTAGGTCACCGTCGATCAACATATTTTAAAGACCCCTGTACGTAATCATTTTAAATGATCATTTCACGTGCGCCCTTTGACCAATGAACGTCTGCATTTTGGTCGGATATTGGCATTAGGTTTATTTCGATCGAAGTCATTTGAAGACTTCTGCGACTATTTCTAAAAAAAGTTTCGACTGTCTCATCATTTACGAGATTTTTTTAAATTTTAGAGAAAATCACAAACAATTTGGTTGTTTATTGGTAATCAGAGGAAAGAGTCAATACGTCACCACACACTATCGCAATAACCCTTTTGAAGAGCCCTCAGTTGCTTCGGGTCCAACCATCTTGTGCGTCTCTCTAAACTGTGACCGGCGGGTCTTCTCGTCTGCTTCAGAGAAACTACGTCTGCTTGCCTCCTTTCACTTTCTTTTCCTTCATCCGCCGATTCTGGAACCATATTTTCACTTGGCGTTCGCTAAGCTGAAGTCTTTGGCTAAGTTCCCAACGCTTTGGCTTGCTGATGTACGTGTTGCTGACGTACTCCCTTTCAAGTTCTGCTATTTGGTATTTCGAATACGGCTTGCGTTTCTTCCTCATATGAATAACAGCGGGTAGGGTGGTATTGCTGGGTATTTTACTCGTGTCTGTTATATCTGAAATAAATAGAAAACAGATTTTCTTTAACAAGAACTTATACCATCAATAAAATTTTATCTGCATGATCTGTAAGGTTTTGTAGTTGTTCCAAACGTGAAGTGGTATAAAATGTAGGATACCATGGGGATTCTGTTGTCGTTAATATATAATAAACATGAAACGTCTTTAAATCACCAATCCAAATTTCATGAAGAAACCTGAAATTCAAGTTACTAAGTTAGAATGTACAAGTTCAATGGAAACATCATAATATTTTTCTAGTTTTTATCCTTTCCCATAATAATCAAAAATTCAATGGCGTGTTTAAAATATTTATTTGAGAGCTAGCATCGTGTTGCTTCCAAAGGAGCAGAATAAAATTAAAAGAGTGAAAGTCGAAACAGACTAAACCAGCATTTGGCCGCATGACCTACTAAAATAGGATTGCATGTGCACTAATTTTTTAAAAGTAAATCCGATGATATATCTATTATTGGAAATGCAATTACGACATAGTTATTGTCTTTTTTTCAACTTTAGCGCTAATTAATGTCAATACGAATGGGTGTTACTTAGTGGATTTTCATAGTTATACAAGTGTTAAATTCCTCCTGAAGTTGTTCCAATTTTTTGATGGAGTGTAATCCCATTTTAAATTAAACTTTTATGATGTATTGTAACAAATATGTAACTCAGGAGCTGTTGGTGTCATTAGGATTATTCAGGTATACTGACCATCGAAAATATATATACATCTGGGATTGTTGTCGCTGAGGTTTGGACTTTTAGTACTACTTGAAGTCGGCTATATAGGGGTAGTCCAAATCAGTTTCGACCACTTTTTACGTTTACACTATATTAAAGGTGAAATATTTAATTGAATCACATTTGGCAGCTAAAAATAGTAAGGTATTCGATGTATACAAAAAAAGGGGAATGACAATGAAGAAAGAAAATCGTCACGAACTTAACAATTTGAGCTCTCAGAACTTTAAATACTTTAAAGTATTATCTCTCGTTTCAGTCGCAACTCAACAATTTTTATCTCAACGCCAAACACAAAATAAACTTGAATGCAGCGCCAGAATTAGTCTCGTGGAATTGCCTTGTTATAGTTTGTCTTAGGTTACGTATAGATGATAGCCTTTGTAAAGAGAGCACCTGTTAGTCAACAAAGGGAAAAACAGGAGCACGAAGATTTCATTTCATTTCATTTCATAAAGAAGGTGAGTGTTTCAAAATTACCAAAATGAGCCATTAAAGAGAACCGAATCTGGGAAAGTTACAACCACAAACGCCAGCAAGTGTGCATGGGTTTAATTCTGGCATTGCGTTTTTGGCAATTTTTTTAAATATTGTATAATCATTTTACCAAAACCAAACCCTCGTTAAAGCTACCACTTATTTGTTGATTTCTCTTGATGAATGACAACCGTGACACCAATCAATTTAGGTTATTTCTTAATTTATTAAGCTACCACAATCACCTGAACAACTTTAAATCTTTTCCAAACGCGTCAAATAAAATCCAATAGATTTAATAAGCAGTTATTGATTATGCAATTTTACTACAGATTGTTGGATACAGTTGCCCATCTTATTTAGTTTGTTTACATATTTATACATGAACATGAAATGCCTTTTAATGGACGAAAAAAGGGAGTTAAAACGAAAGAAAAGCAATTTTGTTCATTTCCGCATCAAAAGTTAAATCGGGTTTGATAATTTTAGGTTCCAATATTGCATCGAACACCGTCGCAGAAATACCAAATGGCTTTAGAAATAAGTCAGCAAGACTTGTTGTTCAAAATATCTTTTCCTAACCATTATCTTACGTAACTAGTGTTTATGTACATTGCGTTTCAGTGTCTATTCAACGTATATTCACTTGTGAAAATTTGCCATCCCTGGACACAAAGACAGCTAAGAGAAGTCAAGTTAAGTTCTGGAATCACGAAAAACTTGTCAGACAGGTCATTGTTTCGACGTGAAAAGCATCAAACTCATCACATCACGTACGTACCCAGGTAACAAAGGCGTTTGAAACTTTCACACACTCCATCAAATACGGTGCGTCTTTAGAATGCCACGCTTGTACAGCTCTGCGCGGAGCAGTCGCACTGAAGGACCACAGGCGAAACTCCCGAGGCGAAGCTTGGTCTCGGAGGTCATGGGAATGGAAGAGGAAAATCTACGGAACCAGGCGCCAATGTATGAACAACAGCACAGTGACTGAATTCAAGCCGGTGGAATACGACCTCCGGCGTCCAGATTCATTTTTAATGAACCCGAGAAACATATTGGTAACTCCGCCACGTCGCGCAAGCAACAGTGATTAGCAATTGAAACTAAGTGGAAAGTTTAACTCCTGCACGTGGACGGAAGAATTTTTGCTTCTGGAGTTGAGACCTCGAAGGCGATGGTTAACTTGCTGGTAATTTTAATACATGCTTAGATCACACTTCCTGAATTAAATAACTACATTTTGCTGGAAGATCATTTTTAGTCGAACGCTTTGTGTGACTGAGAAATCCTGTCAATTAAAAACTGCGCGTGTCCACTTGTGTCCATAGCGTCCGGGCGTGTCCTTTTAAGTAAATGTGTATTTTATAGCAATCTATATGACAATTGGATTCAACGAATGGACTATTAACTTAAAAATAACAATACTAAAAAGACATACTAAAATGACATACTAAAAAGAGAATTGGTATATATTGTAAAGCGTCGTTTCCACCAAGAGAGAGAGAGAGAGAGAGAGAGAGAGAGAGAGAGAGAGAGAGAGAGAGTAAAAGGAGAAAACGAGAGATCTAACATTCTGCTAGTATTGACAGGTTGCAATATTGAATTGTATTTTTATAATAGTACTTGACAACGTTTGATTGTACCTCACAATCACGAATACTTTGGATTACATGTTAACTTACCAAACGGTGCATTACAAAGCAAAGTGTACTGAAGGCAAATGCATCAGAGAATGTGTACGAAATGGTATATAATTCCAAAAGTAAAGTACCAGACAATATATGACCATTGTGAACTCAAACACTATAGGCTATCTATAGGGCATACTAGCGTAATCTCAGTTTTGTAATATATTACATTTCCATGTTAATCTTTAAAAAAATGACATACATATGTGGACAGCACTATGAGTTGGTTTTGAACACGAAACGCATTCTAATAGTAAGTGCTGACAGCACATACTTTGATAAATAACCTTAAAGGTTCGATTTCGCTCATATTTATTTCATCAGCGTGACAATAGTTATTTTGGGGTGTATCAAAAGTACCGGGAGAAGACAAAGGAAAAGCACACTCTTTATTGCCAAAGTACCAGTATATATCAGAAAATAAAATTACTTAAATAACTACCAACCTTTATTTAATTGTCATCAAAACGCTTTAAGTTCAAAATGTATTGATTTGAAGAACAATTATAGAATCAGCATATTTATCCAGCGAATACTACGCTAAAACATTTTATCCCTATTATCTATATATGTTTAATGTACGATATATAACAGTCTTCTGGAATGCCATAAGAAAGCCAGCCAGATACAGCAGCTAAAATATATTTGTAGAAAGGACACATACAGGGCGCATTTCCCTTACTTACACAGCCGTTAATGTTAATTCATTCAATGGAATGCATGGTTTGACTGAAAAATGAAATCCAATTATCACAAGAAATGATATGCTGTTCTTAGCAGATTTGAAGCCGGGTAATAATACATATAATGTTTATACACAATTAGCTGATCTTCAGCATGCAGCTTATATCTGTAGGCGTTCTCACTTATTTTCAGTAATCAATCATGGATCTTTTGACTTAGTTAAAAGTTTTAAAAAAGTTCTTGATAAAATTCACCAATTGAAATGCTATCTGATCAGTCTCACATCAGTGCATTGGTGAAAATACTGGTTATTGTAACTTTGTATTTTTTATTTTGAAATTTTATTGCGTAATTGCACATAAACGATATACAAAGATAGCACTCCATAAATGTGGGCCGCTTTTTGTGACAGCGAAAGACGGACAGGGAGCCCTTTAAATGATCCTCATCACCGGACGCAGCGTTGAAAATTGTCACCGTGATATTGACACTACATGCAAACGCGCCCATTTACAGATAAGTGGGTGTCATTGGAGTTAGTTTGTCAACTTATTCCATTGTTGCCCCTTTGGTACCCAAATTCAACCGGGGTTGACTAATCTACGGTTTCCATCACACCCCTATCATTATGCTTCTTAACCGATGTCAAGACAAATTGATGCCTATAATGCCTGCCATTAAGCCGTTCAACTCTGTCGCCTATTAACTATGATTAACTTGTAAATTGTGGTATTGTCATATTAAGTTATTAAGATTTTTTCTCATATGGTAATTGGCTGTCAACTTTAAGTATAGAGGGAAACCACAAATTTTAAGCATTTCATTTGCACCCAATCCGGGCCAAAATACAATTCATCACGGCCCTGTTAAGTAACAACCAATGCACGTTTAGAAAATTCCTCGCTGCGGGCCCGTGTTTTTCAACCGGGTCAGGTTTTGGTTTGATAGGTGTCGTTTAAGGAAGGTGTTCAACTGTTAATCTTTTTTAAAAAGTGATGGTATTTTTCCAAGACTACTGCCCCTGAAGGGACATCGTCAAGCAAGATGTCTTGACCCCGCTTCCGCATACCTGTTCAGCTTGAGGGCCTATTTTTTTTGTCTGAGGATGAAGTGCGCATCTGACGATGTCACTTGGTTAAAATGGAGGGAAAATTCTATGTATTATTATAATATAGTTTGAACAAAATGGTTAAGTAAGTTATATCAGTCTATATGACAATGCCACATATTAATGAATTATTAAGAAACGCAGCGCTCTTGTAATATTTAGAAGATGAAGTAGAAAGGAGAACGATTTTGAGAATCTGCCAATGACACATATTTAATTGTAAGAAAACTTTCTTTATATTAAATGCATGTGAGGTGTAAGTAAGACTCTCGGGATCAGATGTGTCGAATAAAAAAAAAAAAAACAAAAAACGGAAGTATATCAAAAGTAATTAACCAGTCGGTTGTTTTAAACGTGAGGTGAAACATTTAGGTTGTATTTTTGACACTTCTGAAAAATTGCATCGATTTTAAAAGGTATTTATCGGGAAAAATAAAGGAATCTAACACACTCTGGGATGAACGAATCTGTAGCATTAAACATAAATAAGTTTAGCAACAACACACGCCATTGCTTAGCTTGTTGTTTAAAATGGACGTTATTTTTTGCACGTTATTGAAGGAGCGCGCACATGTGGTTCCTGCACGTAGGATGCGATTTTTCATAGTACATGTACAATACTGCTGTGAATACATAGACAAAATTGCCTCTGATTGACACGCAAATATAAAACGAAATCTCAATTTTAGTTCAATACACTATGTGCACAATGTGCTGACGACCTCGAGGAAAATGCGAGAAGGCATCGTCGGATGAACTTGTAAAAAGATTACATGTGGAAATCTGAATATAAAAATGCACTTGACATTTACTGAGAATGCTTTCTATCCCAATCGTAATCCATTCTCAAAATACTGAAATAAAAAAATTGAATTTTAAAAAGTTCACACAAACATGTATAGACTCACAAAATAAAAACTTAATAAAATTATATGATAAAAAGATGAATAATAATAACAATAATTTTGCAACACTATTTACTTGATATTAAAATTGCAACTGACAAGTATACCGTAACAAACGAATGTTAACATAGTCTAATTAAACTTATTTACCTTTAGCAAATCCTATGAGAAAATGAAAATATAAATTTTGTGAAATGTGATGTGTTTATCCGACAAAAAGGAAAGCTGATGATACTTAGCTTCAAAAAGACATCCTAGATATCCGAGTGAAGAACTATTATCATGTACCTCTAATATCATTCAATGCAAAAATGCGCATAGACACAGTTATATTCTACAGCTGTATTGTGCAATTGTTTTATCTAATAAATATACACGTATAATTTCATGTGCTCAAAATTATTCAAACTTAAACAGTGCTTGTTGAAGATTTTTTGTCAAATTTTCAATATAAATTGATAGTGAGACAAAATAAAAATGCTTTTTGACAGCTGTTCTTTGTCGTGAAGACACAACATATTACGTGACTAAAAAGGTCAAATATTAAAAAAAAAATAGCTTAATTAAGATAAAGCCTATACTATCTTTATCGTGCGTACTTTGCAACTCAAAAATGATCACGAATTGAAAAAAAACGCTCTGAAAATAAACCCAAAATCGCAACATTTCCTGACAAAGGCAATAATTTAGAGGATGGTAACATATTGCATAATAGGCAGTAATGGCCATAGCCCCGTGTAAAACTGCACGAAATACACTCATTTCTGCTCATTTTCTTGTCATTAGCATCTGTTGCAAAGTGGGCTTTCGTGCTGTCAGCCCGGTCACAGGCCTTTCTGTTTAGAGATTGAAACCTAAACAACTGCTGCAAGATCTCTTGTTCTTTAAACGCTTGGTTTTAAAAGTTTAATTTTATAAACATGTCCAAATTAGAAATCAAGTTAAAAGGACAGTATTTAGGGCGATAAAAGAAAAAGAAAAATAAATCTTGAATTTATTGATATTTTTGCATTACTCAAAATTATCGGTAAGCAATACAATTAAAACGTTCATATTTATTAGTATTGTTAGATCATTGTACTTTATTTCAAACACTTATCATATAATGTGCCGGGTGTGAATTGAATGTTACAATAATGTGTCTTAAAATGGAAAAGAAAACTTTCAGTCAAGTCAGACAAGGCTAACAGTCTCTAGTTCAGATGTATAAGCACGAACCAGCGAAATATGTCAAATTAAGTTTTGATTTCTGACAAATATACAGGTTGTTCTAAAGCCAAAGCTTCATATTTTGATAAGAACGTTAACTTTCCTAACTAAATTTAATAATTTCTCATTTCCTCTGCTTTCAGTCTGTTAGTTAAGTAGTTTTGATTGAAGTGTACTGCTATATAGAAAAAACAGCGAAAGTGATAAAAAAGATTATCAACCAATCAATCAGTCAGCCAGCTGAAGTTGGTTAATTGGATCTTTTATTTATCTATCCATTTTTATGCTTCGACTTTGTCTATTTATACATATAACTTAATCTATTTATCTTTTTTCGGCATTTGTATTCCAACACACCTATTTCAAATTATCTGTTCATTTTGGGTATTCACCTTTAGAACGACAAAATAGTAGCGATACACGATTTTGTTTCTTTCCCTAGGCATATTTATGTACAAACATATTACACACAAAAGAATATCAGCCCACTAAAAATATTACCGTTAACTATATCCGGGAAAGACTGTGGTTGCACCTCCACTAAATAACGCATTACGGCAAAATCCTTAACAAGATATAATAAAGACATCTGAGGAGTGAGCATGCCCTTCAGTTGTAATAGTCCATACAAAACATTCACATTTAACTCTGGGCATTATCAGCGACCAATTAACCCGTGCTTTAGTTTTCGGATGGGAGTTGCAATTGAATCGCTCATTTACGCGTGGACTCCGGAAGCCAAATAATTATCATGACAAGAAACGCTTAAGAAACTTTTTTTTCTGATGGGCACGTGGCTAACCAATAAATTCTTACTGCAAACACTGAAGTAAAAGAAATGTTTATAATAATTTTTTTAAATGTTGACTACAATGAATTCATTGCTTATAGCAATTGATCTAATGAGAGTATATATTTTATATTTTACCCAGACTTTCTTAATTAAATATTCAGATGCCGTGTCAACTTTTAAAATGAATTTTCATGGGATGTTGCAGATGACGAAGCTACAAAGTTAAAGCAGTATAGTAATTAAGTCTGCTTTGCCAAGCTCTTAGCCTTCTTTATTTGTGCTGTAAGTTAAATATCCAAAAATTACATTAAAATGTCAGCACACAGAATTTACTTCCATCTAACTACATGTAAATTCAATCTTTATAAAAATGGAATCTCTGTACTCTGGGTCGTTCCGACAAAGAACATGTGACCTTAGACAATAGTATATATGAAAATGATACTCCGTAATTTACACTGTGTGTGTGTGTGTGTGTGTGTGTGTGTGTGCGCGCGCGCGCACGCGCTAAACCCAGTTACGCACGTGCTTTTCTTTCCTTTTTTTTATACTATACACAGCAATGGATATAACAAACCACATATTCATATATACAGTACACACATGTGCACAGCTATACATGTACAAACAAACTGTACATTTTATGGGTAATTTTATGTGGTAGTTTAACGAGAAAATAGTAACAACACACCATTATGTCACTGCTCATTTATAGTAATTGTATCATTAAATCCTACACATATAGGTTCATTTTAAAGCCTCTACTTGTCATAAATTGTTGCTACGGTATTTCACTTTTACGAGGTTGTCATAACAATTATCTGTGGTGGTATCTAACAATAAGTCCTCTATTTATAGGGCGCTAACTGACAACGCACTAAAAAGTACGCGTTATTTGATATTCAATCCAAAGGTTGTAAACATTTAAACAATAACTGTAAAATCAAATATCTAATTACAAAGGTATGTAGTAGTACTCGCGTGTCTGTGTCAGTTTTCTGTATCTAGGCGATTGATACAAATGGCGAACATTATCTTATAATTATATGATCATCGTCTGATCTACTAATTGCGACAGAAATAAGAAGAAAAGGAGAAATAAGCCCAGACAATGATTTAATATATTGTGCTTCGTTTTACATGTGCTGCAGAGAATAAATTGTGATTTGAATCAGTAGATATCATATGCTTGTCTAACCAAACCAATCCAAACCATCGATCGTTGAATCGATTACCCAGTAATAACTCTAGACGAAGAAGTGCACTGTTTTGTGTAACATTAGCACCAAGTTTACACGCGGTGTCTTCCAACCATGAGATATATTTGTATTGGTTTGACCTTTCATAAACCAATGCTACCTTAGTATTATCAAAAACATCACTTACTTTTCATATAGTAACTTGTGACGTTGGAATACGGCGAATCCGTCGTTGTCATGGTAACGCTGCTGCTTGACGCCGTGGTTGCCAGGAGACCACCCCCTGAGATGGACTGAGACTGACTGAGGCCACTCTCCCCCAGTGGGGTGGTCGGGGGGTTCCCTAAGAGACCCCCAGAGTCCATACGAGACCACCCAGTGCCCGTGTCTGCATTATGTGTGTGGCTGCAAGAATACATACAACTGTCCGGTGGCACGGGGGCGTACTGGTAACTAGGGGGAGGCGGAGGTGCGGACAGTGCGTTACTACCCACGCTTGACCAAGGGTCACTGCTGGGGTAGGAGGAATACGGGTAGAAACTACTGATTTGGCACGGTGAGTATTTGTAGGCGTCGTAGCCCGGTGCGACGTTGGAGGATGTCCGGCTGGACAGGTCCGCCAAGGAACCTGGGGTGCTCATGCCAGAACCCGTTGGCGTTGCCTCCCTGGGGAACCCGTTGTTGTAGGAGTTCAGATTTGTGAAGGCGGAGGGCGGAGACAGAGACGACGGGGACGACGTCGAGATCACCATTGGCACGGCTTGGTGGGCTAGAGGGGGTTGGGGACCGGGAACTCCTGCACGTCCCTGTATGCACCCATAGAGGAGAAGTGGTGCCAGCCGTTCATATTGGGCATGGAAACTGTGCCACCTAGGTTCATACCACGGGTGAAATCGTTATACATCAGTGTAAATGCGGTCTGTATATGAATAATAGTCTATGTCTACATCTATACTGATATCAGTGAATATACCTAATATCCACGTGTATAGTTCCTATTGTGGGCTCTGTGCCTTTCCAATGTTAAGCCTACCGAATGCTTCTTCAAATTTCCTTGGTAATGTGTTTGTTTCGGTTATTATTAATTTAATAAATAAATCAGCAAAACAAATGTGTCGTTCCCTGCGTGTCAAAATACCCGAAACAACCTGCGAATATTTCTAAGCGCCTTGACTTTTGTTGTGGCGTAAGACGCAATTCCTCCAAAGTGGAACTATACTAACACGATATGTCTCCCTTGAGAGCGGTTCGTTTTGTTGCAAAACCGCCTTCTTGCCTTCTGTAGTGCCACTTCTATAGCAGACGACACTGAGTAACCTGCTGCTCAGATCGGGTCTGTTGGCAAGACGCTAGTCCACGTGCGACAAAAGCCTTGCACAAGTTCACCGTTTACTTCTGGCTACAATCTGGTTACATCTTCGCCTTAAGATTCCACCGCAAGTACCATGAAGGGGCAGGTGTGAAAAGTTTTCCCACTACCTCTGACTTCGTCATCGAGCTGAGCTGTCAGCGTCTCTCTCTTTCGAGAACACGCTATCCATCCTCTGCTCCGACATTTGTCAATGGTAAAGACATCCTTACCCGAGGCGCTAAACAGACAACAGCAAGCGCCCCCAGCATCACGCTGTTGTACCACCAGAGAGAAAAGCGTGTTAGAAACGCGCATGCGTTGGCATCCATCACCATGGAAATGGCGGCGGCCATGTTGAATCCAACCTCAAGTCATACTTGCAAGCCGTCCACAGCATACAAAATAGGGGTGCAACTTAAAGGGAAAAAAGAAGTGCTCGATCGAGGAGAGCATCAGTACACAAACATCTAAGCAAAATTCCCTTCCCCCTTCATTTTGAAATTTGGTGAAAGCGTGGCCTGAAATTGCCGGTAATTGCTCGCCACGTCTGGTGGATCTTGTTGGCCCAGATGCGGCTGTCATTGTGATGATAGATGAGAGCGAGGGTTACCGGTCACAGGCAGGTGAGGAGAGAGACAGGATGCCTTGCAGCGAGAACAGGAGGTCCGTGGGATCGATCAGACGAATAAAAAAACAACAAAGGGGGGCGTACCGTTAAGTGGAACACAATGCAAAGGTGGGCAAAACATAGTTGAAGTTTGGATTAAATGGATATTATGTATTATCTTGGATTTTGCTCTTAATATTTGTTTTAACAAAGATTCATGAATGTCTGACCGAAATGGGATAAGTGTTTATGTGACAAGGGTCAGCATTTAGGGATTATGTTTTAGATTGAAATCACAGATATCCTTGTAATTTAAGTACAGATATATATGTACAGGTACCATCACAAAATAATCAAAGAATATGCATGACAACGTTTAAGATTATTTGTTGAATGTATTTCGAGGTCGTAAAATCCGTCTTTTGATTCCTTCAAATAGAATAAATGCCATTAAGGGACATGGAACGCCATAAACATCAAACAAGTCTAAGTTTAGATTGGATTAATATTTGTTATGTAATCTCAAGTTTTTATGGATGTACGTGTCTTTTTTTAACTTGACGTGCATCCGACTGCACCTACATATTTGTCAAGGATGATAGCAGTTTTACGCACCAATACACCTGAAATAATAAAACAATTGTTCTGCCTTTATTTTAAACTGCAACAAAAAGAAAAAAATCTGTACGTTTTTCGAGAGAAAACTGTAGCAAATTATTGTTTGAACTTTGTGTGCAAACGCAGTACATAAAAATGATTAACATGATACACGTATTCTCAGAAATGTGACATAACCAGAATAATACAGGCGCAAAACTGAATGGTACTATAATCAGCACCACTCAATATTAGAGCATTCATAAAATAAGCGTGTTGTTATTATTGTAAATTTACGGCGTGTTAGAATTAGGCCTACTACTCACATAAACATACTGGGTAGAGCAATGCCTTGTTATAATGACTGTACACAGTATACTAAACATAACGATGATACTATTAGCATTATATTAGGACATTCATAAAATAAGCGCAAGTTTAAGGGTACTCGGTAAAGAGCGTGTAGATTGCAATGCACTGTATATAAAACTTGTTAACAAAGATGCATTTCCAATGTATAAGTACAGAATAAAATACATACAGAAAACAAGCAAAAGAAAAAAATACGTGATAGGCCAAGTTGTCATATGATTCCAAGGTTTAAGTTAAACCATCTAATTATATCACACAATAACTGAGTAAAAGCGAGAAGTTTGTCACAATAAAAAAGGTGAGAGTGTAGGTGACGAAATTATCCTAAGCCCCAGGCTCGACATATGTGTCACCGCTCCACTCGGCAATTATCATATGAATTCAGTTAAATGAGCGCCCATCCTCAGGTATTCAGCGACGACAAAGACACGTTTTAACACAGTTGTGTATAGATACAATATTGGACGCTTGGCTACACACTTGGCTTACATGGATCCTTTCTGTTCCGATCTGAATGAGCAGTGGTGGATTTAGGGGTGGGGTGTTAGGGGGGGTCCTGACCCCCCTTTCGATTTCTGAAAAAAAAATCATACTAATATTCCCCTCTTGTAATTAGAATTTTGACTTACTGAACCATAGTTCTAAACCGTATCAAATGGCACCTTTCGCCCTCTAAATTACCAAACATTTTCGGGGCCCTTCGGCGGGCCCCGAACCTTGCGTGTGTGTGTGTGTGGGGGGGGGGGGGGAGATTCTGGAGCCGTCCCTGATGAGGCAGAAAAAATGCATTGTTATTAAGATGGAGCACAAGGTTATTGCAATCAAACTAACATTGAATATACTGTATTTATTTAGGTACGGTATGGTTCGTCTGCGTGGTAACGCCTGACTCAAAGTCTGCTCAATTTTCAAGGCACTGACTGGTACTGTACAATGCTCTTCTGTTCTTCTCAAGTATGATGCATTTGATAGATTCCAAGTGTACAAATTTTTTGGTAGATCGTTAGTGTTCTCTAGGTTCCAAAAAGACGTTAATTGGGGGTTCCTATCCCATTCTTCCCTCACGAAATGTCTGAGATTGCAAGGCTTAGGGGAGGCTGCCCCCGGGGTGGCGTTCCACTGTCACTCATCCTACATAACGCAGGTGTAAGGTCAAATTAGTCACTCTTTCAAGAGTGTCACTGGGGTTTTAATACAAAGATTGATTCTGTGTGGGTGGGTGTGAAAGTGGAGTGTGAGGGTGTGTGTGTGGGGGGGGGGGGGTGGAGGATGCCGGCACACCACCCCCTCCCCTTTGACTCGGAGATTTTAACGATATAGAGAGTGAAACGATACAGAAAAATAAAACACATTCATTCCCTTCACCTACTACTTGATCTATATCGTAGTTTTGACCCAACGCGATTGCACATGTATCTTAATGAAGGATAAACCAACTGGGCTTTTTATTTCCCTCCTATGGAGTACACCAAAACAGTATTATAACTTGAGGACCAGTGGTAGATTTAGAGGGGGAATCCTGACCCCCTCCCCCTGCTATTTCTGAAAAAAAGTCACACCAGTGCCCCCCTCTTGAAATAACAATTTTGACTAACTGAATCATATTTAAACTGTACCAAATGGTACTTTTCGCCCTCTACAGCGGCCACGAACTCCACGCCAAGGAGGAGGGGTTGGCTTCACATCCCACTCCTTCAAATTATCCCCCCTTCAAATAATCCTGGATCCGCATATGAGTACGCCTGTGAACAGTAATGAGCCGCACTACGAGGGATACGAGATAAATCAGAATACGGAGTAGGCCTACTGACAACAGACTGACTGGCAGCCGTGAGCTAAAGTTCCCGTGCAACAGTCGTTAATAGATCAACTACCACAATCCAAATATGTTGACGACCACCCGAAAGCTTACAGCATACGTGTATGCCCACGATGTTTCTCCTTCTCAGCCCAAGACCAGAATGGCTGGAATGTGTGTGTGTGTGCTTGTGTGTGTGTATGTGCGCGCGTTTGCTTGTTTGTGTGTTAGTTTAAAGTTAAAGGTATTCAGTTTTCAAATAATACTAAAAGCAATAAATGTAGAATAACATAATTGTATAGTAAGTTGTAACACTACAGGCCATTTTCTCAAATGTTTGCTTTGTGGGCATCAGTGTTATAAAAACTCTATACATTTCTAAGATATGACCAGGCAGAATATGTAACGTTATTTTATTGATCTCAAGAGAATTCCGTTTCCACACAGACACCATCAAGGACAAAAAGATGAAATTTCTGGGCATACGGGAAAATGGAATGAGAGCAAATTATGCTCGAGTTTAAACATCAGTCCCTTAATGTTAACTTGAGTTTCAAGGACAATAGAAACTCCCTCACTAATATGATGTAGAGGTGAGTTTTCAACTGAACAATAATTTTTGAAGTCAAATTATCTCAATAATAATAATAATAATAACAAAAACTATAATAATAATAATAATAATAATAATAATAATAATAATAATAATAATAACAGTTTCATTTTGATATAATGAAATCCGCCGTTTTAAACTGAAGTTGCATTAGCAATTGTGTCAGGTGAGATGAAACACAATCGCTTCAACTGACGCTAGTCAGGCAACTGGCATAACTGGTGAACATGAAAATATCATAAGCGCGTCTCCACTCGTATACAGGGATACGCGGATACAGGGTCACGGTCCTCATCCTCCTTTTGAAAATTAGTAGCATATTCAGACCCCGTTTCTTGCCGAAGAGAGGGATAAATGGCTTTAGACCTGCAGATTTACCGGTACTACAATGTTTCCCAAATTGCCAACTGGTAATTATCATCAAGCATTTTTATTATATATACTCTTTTTAAAGCGTTGGTTTCCAATTTTAATCAAAAATTGGATTTATTTAAATTTTTTGCCGAGATCAGAGTTCGCTAAAGAAGAAGAAAAAAAAAAAAAAGAGTTCGCTAAAGTACGGAGGGCAAGCAGAGCACATTTTATCTGAAGCATGCCATACAAATGCAGATGTATAGCGACGGGAAAATGGAGTGTTCGAAAGGTCAAATGTGAGGCTACGAGTGGTTATCCATTCCTCCTATCTGTCCCTGGCAGCACATGAAAGGATTATTGAGTGTTAGTTTATGTTACAGGGGGCCATAAAATTCGTATGAAATTTACCGCCGAGATCAATGCGGTCATGAGGTATGCTGTGAATAAATAGGCGTTTACGGGAAGCGGTCTGTACGCTGACGAAAATTATTGGCGTTTTTTTTATTTACGCAGTGATTCCAATCATTTGTATTACATTATTCACTAAAATTAACTATACGTTGCCACCGAAAGGTAGTGCTTATTTTTTCAAAAACCGACTCTGCAATTTTTAAATTGATTCTGGACTATTGCCATGAAGAAAAGAAAAACAAATCTCGCCCCTTCATCCGATTTTCATTGTCAACCAAAACAATTAGTCGTTTATACAGAACTTCAACTATTTTACTTTCTGTAAAGCACATTTTGGCATATTATATGACCTACTAGAGAAATGCTGTGCTTACGATATTTTAACGTATTTAAGTTATTTAAAAAAGCTCACAAACCGACACTTAAATGGGGAGATGCGTCAACG